TTAGTAAGGAATTCATATAATATATAGTAACTATATGAACTAGAATAAAGAGTATATTAATTAAAGTTGTTAAACACTATTTATTACGAAGGTAATAGCTAGGTCTAATGATCACCTTGATCTGGAGATAGGTATATAGAGTGATTATTAACTAGATTGACTTGAGGTATAATCATAAGGATTACACCTGCTTTATATACCCTAATCAGGCGATGGAATCGCTTAATTAGGTATATAGGGCACACAAATGATTGAGTAATTCGGAGGAGTGCTAGGATTAGTCCTATAGGGTTACACTATACAGTGAATTCCGTGACACTATTATATAGTTATTAGATAAGTATATAATATTATTATTAATAAACTAAAGAATTCTATAATAAAAGAGATAATATTACAAATGATTATTAAGGTAATAAAGAATATTATGGAATTAAATAAATTAATTCTAATACTCTTAATATTTAAAGTATATTTATGAATAATCGACCTTGATCTATTAATATTTATAATCTTATAATAATAGATTATAATTAAAAAAATAATGAATGAAATCAACAAGTTATAAATAACAAGACAAATATCAAATATATTGAATTAATATAACAAATCATTTATAATAATATTATATAATTTGTCTATTAACTTAAAGATTTGAATATAAAAAGAATATAAAAGTTGAACAGATCCGTACTACTTATTAGAAATAAAAGATGGGATATATATTATATAACTAATGAATAGCCTAATGGAGTTTTATATTATTTAAGTTAAATTATATATATATAAAAAAACCAACCTTAGAATCAATTTTATAAAGAACCCATTAAACCAACACAAATAATAAAATTAATACAACCTAATCAATTTATTGAGATTATATAAGAGGTATAATTAATACAAATAATATAAAACATATTATAAAAGAAAAGAAGAACAACTTTATTAAAAGTTAACAAAATTAAATCAATCACTTTATTAATTATTATATGAAACAGAAATAAAAAGAAAACCCTTTTGAATTTATTCAAAAACCCTTAGTTCCTATAATTATCAACTTTTTAAATCATGATTTCTATATTAATAATCTTCTTTATAAACAAAAATATTAATTATATTAAATCTAAAGAACAAGTATTAAATTTAGTACTTTATTTCTCAAATAATATTAAGTATACAAACTGTTTTATAATATTTATTAATAATTTAATATCAACGATTTTTATTGAATTAAAACAAAAGAAGATTGATAATTTAATAAAAAATAATATTTTTTAGTTTGTAAAGATTATAAATATATTTGAAAAAATAAGAATATTTAACTTATAGTTTATTAACAAAATAAAAAATAAGGGAATTAATAAGATATTCCTAAAATCTTGATTAGTAGTATAAATATAAAAGAATCAAGGAAAAAGTACTGTTTTAATATAGTTATCTATAATATAATATATTAATTAAAGGTAACTTTTGATCTATTTTATATTATATAAATTATTAATCTTAAAATAGAAGATATTAATTTTTTTAATAAATATATTCAATAATAGATCAATAATTTAAAAAAAGACCTACAATTTGTTCCATTTGATATAAATTCTTTAAAACTAATTGTATTTATTAATGTATTCTTTATTAATAATAAAGATTTATCCTCCTAGATTAAATATATTATCGTTTTAATGAATAAGTATAATAAAGTTAATATTATTTATTAATTATTCATTGAATATAAGAAAGTTATTAAAAATATACTAATATTAAAACTCTACATTATAATTTTAGGTTTTGATATTAATATAATAATTAAAGATATAATCAATAAAATCTTTCCGAACTATAAGATCCTATTAGTTATATATATCAACTCTAAATCATTTTATAATTGTTTTACGAAACTCGAAACTATTAACAAAAAGAAATTAATAATTGATATAATAACAATCCAAGAGATATGTAAGAAATAAAAGATTATGAAAATCAAATAGAATAATAAAGATTCTAACCTTGTAAATGTAATAACTAAATTCAAGCTGTATTAAGCTTTAAAAAACCTAATTAATAATAATATTATAAAGATTAAGATTATAAAATGAATTGAAAAAGACTAAAAGGATAGGTGGTTATATAGGTAAAAGAGGTATTAATTAGAAGAATACGATCCAGTAACTTTAAAGAATTGTTAGTGTTGGGATAAAGATTATATGATTACACTAACATTAATATTAGTGTTTTTCAATATTATAGCAATACATTTCGTAGCCCTAACTTTTAAAACCTCAAGTAATATAATAATAGTATGAATCATAATACTATATTGACTTCACCATCCTCATGATAATACCAACAGATATAATAGTAATAATAAGATATAATAATAAAAACAAATATAATAATAATAAAGAAATAAAAAGAAAAATTAGGTAGTAGGATTTTTATAAAAGTAATGTAAATAGAAATAATCGGGAATATTAACAAAGTTTTGAAATATTATTTTTCTTTTAAATATTAATTATAAAGCTTGAAAATCAAGCTTTACAATTACTATATAAAAAAAGCTCAAAATATTTACAAAATAATTATTTAGATTTAAATAATTCTTAATAATTTATTTCACTATATATTACATTCAATAAATACTATTATTTAATAAATAAATGAAATTAAATAATTTCAAATAATTTTTCAAATTCTTAAATCCGAAATAAATATTTCATTATATATCATATTCGATAAATACATTATTTTATATTATTTATCAAATAAATGTTGCTTAATAATTGAAATAAAGTGATCCGAACGCACCCTAAGCTTGACAGTTATCTCTAATATTCAGCTTAAAATCCAGCTCGGATTCAGGAGTACCACTATATTATGGTGGACCATTATATAGTCAATCATCCAATGCAGTACTTTAGCTGATAAGTCTACACGAGGCTCAACATTTACTTCGGCCATTTTCATTGCACCACACCATTATTCGGTTTGAATTTTTAGCAAAATTCTTACATTCAAAATTTCATTCTATTCGTACGTCTAAATCAAATTCAAACAATGAATCTATAATAGACCCGCATTCAGAATCTATACATTTCCAACTCCTAGCTCGATCTCAATCGTGAAGCAGCAATGTCAAATTATACCTCCATTCTTCTTAGCTTCTTCGATACGCTTCGCCATCTTCTGTAGATGCTCCACCCTATGGTTAATGCCGCGCGCATTGAAATGGAGTATCAAGCCTTGATACGTCCTCTCCATATTCTTTTTTGCAATTTCAAACATTTGCTCCTCATATTCCTCAATAGCCTGCTTCAAACTACCTTCCAGATCAACCTCGAAATTATCTTTCTGCCTTATAAGAGCATGCGTAAGCAGCATGGCATCATTCAAAGCAACGTTGACCCCAACACCCGCAAATGGTGTCATCAAATGAGCTGCATCTCCGATAAGTATGACACCTGAACGACTTGGCCAGTTGAAACCAACTGGAAGCATATACAATGATCGAACGATAAGGCTATCAGTTGCCTCGGAAAGAAGTCTTTTCAAGTCATCATGTACATCTCCAAAGTACTGTTCCGTGAGTTGTTTGCGGGCCTCCATGGGATTTCCCCAGTCGATACCGCAATCCTTGATCCAATTCTCGGGCTTGCGTACCCCGGCGTAGACTCGAATACCATCATAGCCATTCCGTTGACAGATTATACCGCGACCTTCATCAAACATGAAGAAGCTACCTTTGCCGACATAATCAGAAAGCCATTGCTTGTTCCCTGAAACGTTGCGAGCGGTCATTTCGACCATGCTAATCCCGGAGTACTCGGGAAACTGCGCCGAGACAAGAGGTCGAACTTTTGACCAGGCACCATCAGCTCCAATAACAAGATGAAATCCTTCTTCAACGCGGTCTGCAAAGTGAAGATCAAATTGGACGGGATTGCTCTCGCTTGGCTTGACGCTAACAATCTTACTGTTCCAACGAATGGAGTCTGGCTCAACGGAGTCCAGAAGAATGTCACGAAGTCTGGCACGATCAATCTCTGGGCGATCTCTAGCTTGACGGATAGAATCACTCTCGTCGTCACTATTGTTTTCATCCCAAGCAATAGTACCATCAGCCTTTACCAGCTTCATGGAGTCCGCATCTGGCAAAGAGTGTTTCTGAAAATCTTCCATGAGACCAGCTTCGCGAAGAGCGCGTTGGCCCATATCAGCGTGGAGGTCGATTATGCCACCTTGTGAACGAGCATCTCGGTTGGCGTCTAGCTCGAAGATTGTGCACTTGATTCCGTTGTGTTGAAGTAGACGAGCCAAAGTTAGACCGCCAGGTCCGGCACCGGCTATGGCAATTTTGGGGCCTGGCATGATAAATTCTTACTTTCTGTGCTGATTGACGAAACTTTGTGGAAATCAGTTAAGCGTTTTGAAAGAAGTCAGTGGAGATCTGATGATGAAGATTATGATGATGATGATGATGATGATGATGATGAATATTTGCAAGATACCCGTGAGAGGCACATTCAACTCCTTATATGTCAATACATTCTCCACCGACAGCCATGTAGTTCCACTTCGAGATTCCATCACGAAATGGAAGGGGCAGCGAACACGCAAAATGCATTTTTGAACCCGTCTGTCAAAGGTCAACATATTAGTACTTCTGAAGAGGCTTCATCTTGCGAATTGGACTTTTTAGCGACGGGTAGGTGTTTACCTTGCGATGAAACCCCCCAAGCACTGAGAAGACTTCTGATTTGCTGTCGCGCAATATACGACTGCTGTGAGAAATTGAGGCTGAACCTACGCTAATCAATTTAAGGTGTGTTGCGCCACAATATGAAGCCACTAATATCGGACTCTCCGTGGATTCATGCCGACTCCCTCCACGAAGTTTGATGTTCGCAGAACTTGAGAATTGATGCACTCTTGAATCAATCTTTGGCTAATTGCGAAAACAAAGTGGTATCGAAACCATTTCGACAAAGACGCGGCAAACGACCATGGTCGGTGTACCAACAAGTAACAGGTGTGATAACTGTCGGATAAGGAAGAAGAAGGTTGATACGTATTCCAACTCGAATTGTGTTACTCTATGTTATAATTGAACTAACACGTGAGAAACAAAGTGTGGAGAGCAGCGTCCATCTTGCGCAGAATGCATTCGTAGTGGTTGGGACTGCCCGGGATACCCACCCCGTTGGAAATTCGTGAACGAAGCGCCTAGATTAAAACGATTGTATTCTAGGAGGAAATACATCTTCGAATGCAGTACTATAAGCCCAGATGCTATGGCACCGGAGACGACCATTCTTAGTTCCATAGAATCTGATTCGAATTGGATTCTTTCGGAGAAGCTTGAAGTAGCTGGAGTCCCTCTAGAAATTCCTCGATTTCACGGGAACAATCCCCTGGCTACTAAATTGATGTACTGCTTGGGATGCAAAGTGAAAGGGAATCTAGTACCTCTTTGGCTGATTGGATCATTTTTCCAATATATACCTGATCGTTTGGGTCACAACATCGCTCTCGATGACGCCATAACTTGCGTTTGCAGTCTGTATTGCGACACGTCTTCGGATGAATATACCAAATCGAAAGCCATCTACAGAAATTATATTCGAGCCTTATCTTCATTACAAAAGTGTTTAGTCGAAGAACGTCTCCGTTTTCAACCGGAAACACTGTGTGCTTCTCTTTTATTGCAGATGTGCGAAGTGAGTATTAATATTGCACATGTATATTTGTTATGAGTGACTAATGCGCAAACAGCTTCTTGTGAATGTTGATAAACACAAATGGATTGATCTCGCTCGTGGAACCTCTCAGCTCATTCAAGCACGGGGGGTTGGTCGATACAAAGATCCATTTGATCTCGAAATGCTAGAATCTCAGCTGAGTTACATTGTATGCCTTCGTACTGACCCGATCAAAAAGAGGAGGGCATCGTTGACAATAGATTTTATACACAGGTCATCCAATCTGCCAAATTCAATGAACACTGCTATCTCCGCCAACCAGAATGGCGGGCACTCCTCGCAACTACATCTAAATGGCCTAGCAATGCGATCACCTTGAAAGAGCTCAAATCTCTGGAATTAAGGACCCAGCTTTGTCATCAGCTATTTGAAATACCTAGCGTTCTTATGGCAGCTTCGTCGTCTTTTCAGAATTCCGGTGGATTTTTGGCAGGATCTCATCCTGTTATCATGGATAATATTCTTGAAATTTGTTCTGAGATGAAAGCATGGCTAAGTCGCGAAGTAGAGCCTCACATTTTTCCCAATCCATGCAATACGACTAGAACTACAGTTGAATATTCGGATCCAATTGCAGGTGTCGTAGACTGCGTGACCAATACAACACTTCTGACACTCGACAAAGTGATCTGTTCATTATATCACGGAAGCATAGCAACACACGCAGTTGATACATTCGATGACCCGGAGATCGTAGCGAGGTGGTATCGCCGAGCACTAGTGGCGTATGATTTCGTGCAAGGCGAGTCAAGATTTGTCGCTAAACCTCTAGAAATTGGGTTGCGACAGTTACAATCATCTAGTCCGAAGCCACTCCCGTTGATGAAATCATGAAGTTTGGATATTATTGTGGGCCCTTTCAGGCATCCTGTGCTCTTTCATATTATACGTATTGAGAGTCCTTAAATCCACAATATATGGCTATTCGCAACGCTTGAATGAAGAGATTCATCTTTAGAGTGATCGACGAGCTCGGCCACCAGTACCAGGCTTCCTCGAAAAGCAGTGGCCGCAGACTATAATTTTTTTCATTCAGTGCGATTGGCCAAAGGAAAAATTGCACTATCATCCATACCATAGCACACCTCGTGGGATCATGCATCCACCGGTCCAGAGGAACGGGTAGTTACCAAGGCGAAGTCTATGGTACACGAAACGAATGCACATCAAAATATGACCCTATCACGCCTTTTGGATCACTGGATCCAAGAGCATAGCTGAAGTCCGACGAAGAGATACTAAGAGTATACTTCCACATCATCAGACTACTCTGCTTGATCAATGAGGCGAAACTCGAGGCCAGCTCGCGCATGGAATCGAAATGTTGTCAAGGATCACTTAGTATAATTCCGAGCAAAATGGAATTGGTCCATGAGATTCACCTCAATATTATCCACAGCTTAGTTCAATGTTTAAGTATTTTCAGAGACGAGATAAGCACCGAAAAACATAAAGTTCCGGATGATGTTTTCAATTGGGCAACAATCTTGGTTACAAGGGATGAAAAGATCAGTAGCACTCGATGTATCTTCATCATGGGTGAAGAGGATTTTGTGTTTCACTCTTGTGCGAATGTCGATTTGATAGCATATAAAGGATTGGGATACTGTAGCGAAAAACGAGGTTATCAGATGAAATAGAGAATGAAATGCATTTGCGAATAAAAAAACAAAATAGGCTATTGACCGAGATAGTAAAGTATGAAATAGTAATAGAGCTGGCAATCCTGCTATCACCCCGCAAATCATGTTAAAAGCATCAAACGACCCAACTCCCTCCCTACTCCTCAAAAATAAACCCCGTAGATAAAAATGTAACTCATCATTCCGGTAAAAAAGAATTCGGCACACCAAATTGAAAATATATCACCAGTTTGGGATCAAAAGAAGGACATATATTTGCTCTTCCCAGAAACAAAAACCACTACAGGCCATCTGGTAAATCTGCAATCTCTCTCAATAAAGTCGTAATTCCGATTAGAATGTTATTCCAAAGCCGAAGTATGATACCTCTCGCTAAAACAAAATTAGAATATAGATACCCATTTGATTAGTTGAATCATTTATATTCTCGTCTGAAAATCATTGGTGGGGTGAAAATGCTATCATGGTGGTAAATGAATTGAGCGTATTGATGTTTTCAAACAGGAAAATAGATGAGGATACACCCGTAGATATATCTGCGCTATCTTTCAACTCGTTTGTTTCGTCGAGACGAGGATCTACATCTATGAAGGTGTTGTATCCCTGGAAGATGGTTAATACAACGTTTGTAAATCAAATGAATTTTGCAAACATGCGGAAATATTATCCGCCCATTGATTAGAAAATTGGGCGAGACCTGTGCTAAGAAGTTACTCTTTGATCAGGAGGCACAACTAGTCGATAATAAGAGTGCTTGATTTTATCAATAAAAACTCTGTGATATAGCCACTAGATTTAGATCAGTCCAATAGGTTGTATTTCAAGATGGACGTCTTTGTACCAACCATAATGTCTGAATATGTCGTCTATATATAGACTTTAATTGAGTTTAAGTGATTCAAAAAAATGCAAAGCATTGTTCTACTCAGTCTGCTTTGATTCCGAGGTCCAACTGTCAATTTTCTATTTAAAAGTGGTAAACCAGACCACGACACAGTTCCTCTCAGAATAATCCTTCGTCGATTTTGCGCACATATGGAAAGTTTCCAAACACAACTCAAGCATAAAGTAAAGCGTGTTCTCACAAAGGTCAACACGCGGCCCTGTCTATCCTTTCAGAGAATTCACGAAGCCATCTCAGGTGTCAATTTTACTCTTTCGCGGAACCGACATCTCTATTCTTCAGCAAACATCCAGCACCACGCAAAAATCAAACCGAGACTCTTGATCGAGGACGGTATCAAGGCTGTGAGACTGAACACCCAGAACCATGACCATAGGTATTTCGTTTGAACTCATGTCATCTGATCTGAGGCTATTGCGACTTGCAAGGCATTCAAGCTAATGGAAAGAAATGCGAAAATGAACAAGATTGGGCCGTAAAGTCTATTAAAAAATCACTATAATGGCCTCCCATCTGCTCGTACTGAACCTGCGAAATAAAACTGGTGTGTAAAGATTGAGACGCGACAGTTTCAATTCGCCGTAGTGATAGCGTGGCGAGACTTTCGAATCTTGTACGTCATCAAAGAACGACATGAATTGACAGAAGTCGTTACAATTGATATCATCTGAAATCAATCGACGTCGATCATCTTGGGCTATGAGGAAATACGACTTGTGCTGGATGAGCGACCAATATGTTCTCAAAAACCCCTAGCGCAGCCTTCCAGAGATCATCCGGAGCATCAGTGAAAGACGTCTGTAAGAATTCGTACGATAGCAAATAACTTGGCAATGATTTAATAAGGAGTCGATCGTGCCACTAAACGAGGTGTAGTCGTGCATGCTCAGAAATATGTATTTCAAATCCCTTCACAGGTTGACGACGCAAAGAGCAAATTTTGCCTCTTGGCTTGGAAGGGCTTGACACAAGCCATAAGCTTTTTGCTCTTTCCTTAAGTTCCGATGCCCATAATTCGCCCTGGAGAAACCCTCTTAACGCTTTCTCGTTGCTGAGTTTTATCCATGGATCACCTGGAGATCAAGCTTCATTTTGTTATTTTGGTCGAGCTCCAAAACGTTGCACAGCTGGTGCTCTTTTGGAAATGGAGGTAGCTCTCGAATGAAGTTGAAGCCATCAGTAAACAAAATCAAGAACGAACAGTAAGAGTGATTGTCATGGAAAAGAAGAGCAAGTAAACGTTTTACTAAGGCACATAAGTCGTAGAATTCATTTTCACTTGCATGTATGATGTAGTGTTAAAAGGGCTGAACTTTCGGATCGAACCCCAATGCCAACGCTTGTCAGAGGCTGTGAACATATCAAAATATTACGGTGATACCAGCTGAATGTGAATGGATATTTTTATCCATAGACACATGGTAGATAATTGACGCCGCACAATTCTTTCGGGTGGACAGAGTTGACCCTTCGTGTAGTTAATACCTATAAAGCAGTTCATTGATAATTAATGTAAGATTTTAAACTTATCTCGCACGCGGCACCACGTATGAACGTACCAGAATAGCAGTGTCCAACGTCTAGGTTTATAATACGAGTGTTCCTTGAGTTTCTATCGTATTCTACCATATTCTAATAAGTTGTGAGTCGATATTTGTATGAAATGTTGACAATTTCAATTCCAATTCCAACTGAATCTGCAGTTACTAGCACCGAACTGATGACTAAGAAAGAAACACCCACAATACTTAGCGATGCCATCATCTCCCATGTAATAATTCGCAATACCCCTTTATAGAATGGAACCAGTTCTCTCTTATATAGAATAGGGAGTGTGTATTATACATATCTGGAATCCGGACCAACATGACATTGCTACTTCCACATATTCCACCACTGCAGGCTACAGCTACCTCTTATTTCTATCAATTGTAAAACACTTCAATGCTCGATCTTTCTCTAGCGACTTAATAAATTAAGAAATGAAAGTTCAAACTATATTTCACACAGCCTTTAATTCGAATACCAGGGATACCCAGTGTCTCAGGCCGTCCCGAACTACAGAAGGCTTGATATACAAAGTTTAATTCTACACAATGATGTGGCATTGGGGATACATACAAATAAGGAGAGGAATCGGAACATACATGGAGTCCGAGATATTTCTCCTCTCCGGATATCATTTTGTTGCGGGATTGACAGTGTTCATATATCCCAGTGGTCATTGAACTCTAATCATCGAACGGCGTTCTACCCAACAACTTTGGCCATTCAACCGCTTGTTCGAAGTTTAATATCTCAGGCAAGTGCCCGTTTCTGTGAAAGACACCGCATGTTATTCGCCGGCAAGCATCTCAAGTACGCTGTCATTTCTTGCATGGCTTCTAATGCCAAAGTAAACAAGAAGTGTTAATTTCCGATTAGAATTTGGACGATTGCTCAAGAGAAAATACTACACACGAAAGTTAGTGTGTACTACCTATTTATGATTACTTTGCCATGATATGCCAATATCTGGGCGCCTTTGAGGATTTCCAGTCGTGAAATCTGCGTCTGAAATAATCGATTATCCCCTCACAGATGATTGTGTTTCTTCTGTCGACTTCTCTTCTATCACACTTGCTGTTGTCAACTTGCTGTCTCCGTGCTCTCTAGCTCCTTCGGTATGATGTCGACCGTAGATATCGCGAAATGCATTGATTACGTACACAAACTCGACAATTCTTAACTGCCGTGTATGATCTGTCACTCGATTTGCAATCATTATGCTTTGAGAGATTTCCAGCAATACGATGTACTGAAAACGAAGCCGAAACAAGAGAAAGTGATTTCAATGGCCAAAGCTAAAATCGCATAGTCACACTGCCTGCTAATTGCGGTGGACATTTCGGCAAGTGTGTTTCTTCCAACTACCGATACTGTGCTTTTGTGTAGAAAAATGTCCCGTGATACATTATTTTTCCAATCTTCCCCACACAACTTCGTCCTCTACTTCACCCACAACCCGTCACACCATGGACGCATAAAACCTGACCCATGCTCGGAATCGATTACCCGTTTACATACGGTGCAATTTCGGCAGCTCATACTCGCATCGAGCTCAATCTTTGGGAGGATTCGCGGGTGCTTTACGATCGAATATGTTACTTTACGATGGAGGCGCTCTGCTTATGCCGCACATACACGTGTACGAACGAGGAGGTCTTCACTGCGGCGCATACGATCGTTTGGCTTTGCATTCATGGCACTCGGTGCACCAATGAAGGATATACTCATCCCGTTCTTTTTGCTTTAGTGAAGACCATTCCCGTTGCTATTTGCCGATAGCGTTGAGTCTTACTCAAATGACAAAGCTAACAGCGGCCGTTGAGGAATGATCCGAGCATAAAGTCACTCAACATGATGATTTCAAGCAATTTCCAACCACCAAAACCACCAAAACCACCAAAACCATGAATGACATTTGATCTTTTATCATTTGTCTCCAGATTGAACGGAAAAAATACTCGGCAATTGCATCTGAGGTTCACGTCTCTACTGACGCCTCTCACGTTCACTAGTCCGATTTCAGCCATGCCTTCATTCGCAACGTCAAGACTTTGACGTTTCTGTAATTGCCTAGAAGTATGAGAATGGTAACCCAATCGAATTACGGCATGATATTGTGGCATGTGCTTGTTCACCGTCGCTTATCATCATACCTCATATAATGCTCCCTCCCTCAAGCAACGGGTAGTGTAAAATCCACGGTTTGCTTCTCTATCTCCCTTCCATATCGTCCTAACACCATACTCTACACCGCATATAGTGGACTCTCCTACAGCAGTGCTACCTCTATACACAATCCACGTCTTGCACCTTCGTCGTTGGACCCGAATCTTTTTCAACATTGATGTGCTCCACAATATTGGCTTTCTACTCCGCACTTGGTAAATTACTATCAAAGGCCTCTCCTGTCATTATTTATGCTCGGTTGTAAATCGAAACCTATCATTAAATCTCACCTTACTGTTCTCTGCCTACATATCACACCACGAACAAAATGATCGCCGATACGCTTTTGAATTTGACCATTCGGCATTGGCCTTCATTGTTGATTGTTACAATTGCCATCTATCTTGCTACGAACCGGTTCAATCGTGGCCTGAACAAATATCCAGGTCCGACTCTTGCTTCCTTCACAGATTGGTGGAGGTTCTATGATGTGTATAAGCGTCGTCCTGAAGTCACACATCAAAAGCTACATGCTAAGCATGGAGATATCGTCCGTCTTGGGCCCAATACCCTCTCCTTTGCAGACCCAAAAGCTTTGAAAACTATTTATGGATTGAACAAAGGCTTTGTAAAGGTATTGAGAAGTATCGATTCACTAGGTCAGATCGTACACTAACACATTGCAGTCCGCATTCTACCCTGTTCAGCAATCTGTATCCAATGGCCATGCACTCCCATCACTTTTTAGCACTACATCCGAACCATTTCATGCACAACTCAGACGTTCAGTCAATGCTGCATTTAGCATGTCATCTCTTGTACAATACGAGCCACTCGTCACTCGTACGACTGAAATCTTCTTGTCTCGTACTGCCGATCTTTTTACTTCACCAAGTAGCCAATCTTCTTGTGATTTTGCAAAATGGCTACAGTTTTATGCTTTTGATGTCATTGGTGAAATGACCTATTCAAAACGTCATGGTTTCCTTGAAGAAAATCGAGATGTCGATGGTATAATATCTTACCTAGCAAAGCTCTTCGACTATGTTGCCCCCATCGGTCAAATGCCGATTCTCGATCGGTTCTTCCTCAAGAATCCTATTTACCTACTCGCTGCGAAACATGGCCTTGTAGATGCCACATTTCCTGTTGCCAAATTCGCAGTACAACGTGTGCGAGAAAGATACTCAAAAACAGACGGAAATGAGACATTACCTACTTTTAACGCAGAAGTCAAAACAAAAAATTCACAACCAGATTTATTGTCGAAATTTATACAAGCAAAACACGACAGACCTGAGTTCATGACAGATCAACTCGTTATGACGATGGCTGTTTCCATGGCATTTGCGGGATCAGATACCACGGCGATTTCTCTTAGTGCTGTGTTCTATTATTTGTTAAAGAACGAAGGCTGTATGCAAAAGCTGATGCGCGAACTTGATGAGAAGGCCAGGGAAGGATATTTTGCGGACGGAGAAACGGGCTTAGTTAGTTGGGCAGAAAGTCAAGGACTACCCTATCTGGACGCTTGTATCAAAGAAGCTTTCCGCTTACATCCAGCACCGGGCCTACCGCTCGAGAGAGTGGTACCAGAACAAGGGATAGAGATTGCGGGGGAGTGGGTGAAGGGTGGTACCATTGTAGGTTGTAGTGCGTGGGTGATTCATCACAGGAGAGAAATATTTGGAGATGATGTAGAGGTTTTCAAGCCGGAAAGATGGTTGATAGACGAGGGATTGGATAGGGAAAGAGAGGAGAAAAGAATCAAGGAGATGAATGGAGCGATGTTGATGTTTGGAATGGGCGCGAGGTCTTGCATTGGAAGGAATATCAGTCTTTTGGAGATTTATAAGTTGGTGCCGAGTTTCTTGAGGAGGTTTGAGGTGAGTTCTTACCCACTTTTCTTCTTGCAGATCGTGAAGAAATGTAGGAACCAGGCGCGAAAAGAGGCGCGGTAAATGGCATGGTTAGGACACCTACTGACATCATATTTCATCCTTCAGATCGCACTTGAACATCCCGAGCAAGAATGGACCTTGCGCAATTCCTGGTTCGTACGTCAACTAGATTTCCGAACCACGTTCCGCAATCGAGAGCTCGTGCAGCCTTGCGCGTAGGTTTCTGATAATATATTATACGTAATTCGTACACACACTTGGCAGTGGAACATAGACGTTTGAGTGATATAATATCCTTTTGAGCGTTTTGTACCAGAAGTGTCAGGTACGGTACCTGCATACATGAATTGCTGGAACTTTAATTTTAAATTTTAAATGAAATAACAAGTTGGAATCACCAAAAATGAAATTCCGTACATCACAAGATGAATGCGGAAGAAAGTAGGAAATTATCAAGGAAATAGTCTTCAGTTGACCTAGATTATTTTCAGGTCCATAGACCTATTGGCCTACCTTACCGACTACCCAATTGTCACTAGCCAATTGTCCATATGAGAACGAAAACGTTGAAGAGTGATTTCTCATCAGTATTCATCGACCCGAGACACTTGCGTTACATCCAAATGAATCAGGTCAGGTAGATAGCCAACACGTGACTGCGGCACAGCTGCAGGTACCCCGCCAATCCTTCCCAGCCCATTTGTCAATATGACACTGGCGTAAGCCCAACCTCGTCTTACATTTCGTTTGTATTTGTACAACATCGTATTTTTGTTGGTATGACAGAGACGGTGTGGTGCTGTACCAGGTGTTGCGAGAGAGCGTGGTTATGATGGATTGGTTATGTGATGCGCTGGTGTTGGAGATGGAGATGGAGATGGGATTGTTTACCTGGTAGTTATTCATAGCTACCTACCCAGGTGCGTCTAAGTAGAAGGTGGGAGGGCGTCTTTTTCGTGGCTGTGCATGTGACTTGACTTTCTTTTTTCTTTTGGATTCAAAAATAGAAATTTCTTTACTGTCTGATAAATTCAAGTTTATGGCATTCATGCATATGAGTACCTACCTATCCAAAGGAAATAATATTTACTGCGGATATTCCTGGCGCAGCATCAAAATATATTGAAAGATTACCAAGTTGAACCAATTGATCTCAAAGTGCTTGTTGTGGTCTGAGTGGCGCGGCGGCACGGTACCTGAACCTGAATGTCCGGGGAATTAAGCACTCAGATTATCAGACAGGGGGTTACATGCGGGCGAAGTCACGCATCACCTGGTTGGGTGCGAGTGAATGGGGGAATGGGGGTTGAATTTGTTTTGGGAAATAAATAACTGTTTGTAAGTGTTTGTAAGGCTGAGTACGGAGGATCCATAATTACGGGACTTTCCCCAGGAGAGGAGGGCATGTGGTTGAGGAAAGAAAAACCTTTGGTATAAAGTTTGGGATTCCTCGTTTGGAGATTTTTTGTTTTCTCATACTACTTCAACATCCACTTCTTTAATATCAAGTCGTCCCTTACTACTCACCACCACTTCAATCATAAGTTCCTTTGGTAACTTTCACATATCAAAACGATATCTTTCTTCATTTAGTCGTCAATAATTCAATCAATTCAACTCAAATCGCAAAAATGCCAAAATCTTTGATCTCCCTTTTCGCTCTTGTCTCCTCTGCCATGGCAGTTGAGAGATCCGTCGTCGTCGGTGGTAGTGGACTGACTTTCGTTCCCAATGCCTTGACTGTTCAAGTGGGTGATACGTGAGTCATTCCGCACACACTCTCTTTATCAAATATACTAAACACCTTGCCACAGTGTCAAGTTCCAGTTCTTCGGCAAGCACAGCGTCGCACAGAGCACTTACGATAGCCCATGTGTTCCTTCCGACCATGCTCCAATCTTCTCTGGTGTTATCTCTGGCCCAGAGCCGTCTTCCAATGATCCTGTGTGTATTTCTCTTCCTATATGATAAACCAATGCTAATCATGATTTCCTGCTAGACTCCTGACTTCATCATGGACACCCACGTCAACGGTACCTTATGGCTCTACTGCTCCGTTTCCGACCACTGTCAAAAAGGCATGTCTATGGAAATCATCGTCGGCAATAACCCTGATGAGTCTCAAACCCTCGACAACTATCAGGTCGCCGCCGCCAAGGTTGCCAAAGCCGTTGCACCAGATACTGTTGAAGGTGGAACCGTTGGTCCTCAATCGGGCCGAACTACCGATACCAATGGAAGTTCTTCTGCTTCTGCATCCTCAACTGGTTCCGTCACTGCTCTCTCTGGTAATACCACTGCCACTACCACTGCTTTATCAACCACTTTCACCAGCAAGGCTTCCACAGTCACTGCTACCAAATCCGGAGAGAGCGGTTCCGCTTCTGCTACTGGTTCCGCGGCTAGTGTTACTGCTAGCGGCGCTGCGAGCAAACAAGCTGCTGCGCTTGGTTTTGCAGGTATCGCTGGTGGTTTGGCTTTGATGATCTAAATGATCGTCAACATTAGATAGATATCTTTGATATTTTCATAGAATATTCACCCATATCTTGGGGGAGTTTATGATGATTCAAAAGTTCATTCATTCATCGATCGAGATGATATGATATGTTATATGATTATGAATTGCATGCAGGGTGGATGCATCGCTTAATGATACATGATAATGGGAGTTTTGGCGTTGATGATGCATACATAGGTGCGTACATACATCTCATTAGAGGATAATGGGTGGTGGAGATGTAGTTAATGCAAAGCGAATTCTTAATGGTTCATGCAAATGATTTGTTTCTTGAGATAACTGTGAAGATTTGTGTTGAGTTCGTGAAATTGTGTGATTGAGATACTGGCTTTATGAGTAACAACTTAAGCTTGGTCTTGCGCTTTGTAGAGTTCAACAAATATTGATAGAGCATATTCAAGTACCTACTTCCACTCACGTTCACATAACTTACTAGGTAACTATATCTCCAACCCGCTCCCAATCTCAAAGTACAATCCAAAGATAAGAATAACTCCCCAATCATAAAATCCCTTCAAGATCACCCCCAAAATAAGACACAAACCTCAACCTCCCTAAGCATGAAGAATCTCCATCCAAATAAATACCTACCTATAGGTAATTAATAGTGAATACTTAACAGTGAGTAAAAATGAACCATCTGTATACATAAGTATCACTCTATCAATAGGTAGGTACCTATCCAATCGATATAAACACAATCATTTATGATAATACTAGTATGAAAATGTTAACGAAGACTCTGGGTGATGGAATAGAGATTTATTTGGATTATTGAGTTTAGATGGGTTGATTTTTTTTGGGTTCTGGGGGTGGGGAAGTTGGAAGTTGAGATGGAGGATGGATGATGAAGGTAGAAGAGAAGTTATGAGTTGTGTGAAGAAAGAGGAATGAAGATGGGATTTGATAGGGTATCTGGGTATTGCTTTTGTGAAGTGGGAGAAGAGATAATAACTCGAGAATTTTTATGGGGAGAAAATAGATGTGGGTTTTGATATTTGGTTTGTATTGTTATTGATGGATATTATGAGGAAGTGAGAGGGAGTGGTAGGTAGAAGTTAATGCTTTTTGTATAGGTATTTATTCATTTATTTATATGAGATGATTGAGGTATTCATCGAAGTATTTTATTAGGTTTAAGAGTAGTTTGAATATATAAATTCGATGAGATTTTATTAAATAATGTATTCATTTTAATATTTGATTTCGGATTTCTGTTTGAATATTAAATTATAGATTTTATTAAATAATTTTATTTTTACTATTTTGAATATATTAAATAGAGTTAAGGATTTAATTTTCAAAAATTGTTTTAAATAATTTGTTAAATAATTTAGCTATTTATATAAAAGTAGATTAAAAACAATAACGTAGTTTATTAGTGAACAGATTATATGTTATGGGAGCTACCTCTAGAGTTATGTAGAAGTGTCTAGAGATCTCTCGAGGTGGTTTAGACTAAACTTCAAGTAGGAATTCAATAAGGTTGTAATTAATTATAATTCTTATAACTATAATAATGAAATTAATGATTATTCTTGAGCATAAAGCTTTATATTATAATAAAACCCATTCCCTATATAGACCTTTATATTGAAGTCGACCAACAAATCGATCAACAAATCGATTGATAAGTCGATTGGCTTTTAATCATATAACATTTGTTCTGTAATTCCTATTATCCTAGTTTGTCCTTTTATCCTGAAGCTAATCCCCTGGGATATTATTAATCCTAATGAAGCCTTCTTGCTTATTATATTCTATCTTTCCTAAAACCTACTGTCCTGGAAACTATATTTTAGATTTCTAGGGTATCCTATGACTAATACTATATATATGCCTAAGGCTCTCCTTAAATGCCTAATGTCCCCTGATATATTACAGCTGAATCACTGAGGCCTATAATACCATTATAGTCTATAAGTCAGTGATTCTACAGCCTGTTACTAATCCGTTGTAACATTATATTAGTAAACGAATCATCTTATTTTATATATAAAATTCGTTTATATATAATTGTATACTTTCTTTATATAATAATATAATTTAAAGAAATTTGAAAATATTGAAATTTAATTATATAGATATCATAAAAATCTAATTATTTATTAAATAATTAAATTATTATAATAGTTATTATAAAAATAACTTTTTTGTAACAGAAATCGTAACAATTTCTACTTTTTTTAAAATATAATAGAGATATTTATAAAAAAACTAGATTTATAAAAAGCTAATCTTTTATTATTATTAAAAATTCTTTTCTTTTTTTAAAATAATGATTAATTATTAAAATAAGAATATTAAAAAAGACCTAATTTTAGTGTATTTTCAATTGACTCATTTATTAATATGATCCGCTCACTGATAAACCATGTTAGTTAGAAGAAGCAATTATTGTTTTCAATTATATAAAAAATCCGTGAATTTATAGGCTTTTATAGGCTTTTATAATCTATAACTTTAGTAAATATAATCTAAAACTCTAATAAGTATAATCTAAAGCTTTAAGTTTTTCTTTAAATTAAAGTTTAGATTTAATTTCGATTAGATAAAGTTATTTTTATATTTGTTTTAATTGAAATTAAACTATTCCTATATTTACTTATTTCATGATTCGAATAGTAATAATGAGTTAAAATTCGGATTTCTTTATATAAAGATATATGTATACTATATATATATAATTTTATTTTATTTCTATAGATTTTATATTGAAATCTATGTATAAATAGAAAAACGAAATACAGGAATTCGTTTTTTTAAAAGTAGAAAATGTTATTACAAAATCTATTATAATAAAAAAAGACGGATTATTTAGCGAATTCTGACTGGAATTGATATCCAAACGAGCCCTTAGATATTGTATTTCTTTGATATCAATCGGTCTTGGCATTAAGGAGGAGGCTATTGAGTTAGGAAGTGGTTGTATGTTTACTGTGTCTTGTTGGAGCGGTATAGGTAGCTTATGTGAGGATTCGTGCTAAGGTTGATGGCGGGAGGGGGGTTGGATGGATTTGTGATGATCTTGTGATTTGGGGGGTTGATACTGAAGTCTCGATTGTATTGCTAGGAGCGTCGATTTATATTTTACATTGGTGTTCATGAACCTCTCAGCAAGCTCCTCCCTACCTAAAGTGGATATCAGCAAACCCATCACCGACCTATCACATTTTCCCCCTCTCCTCCACAATCCCGTCCCATATCCAGAGCGAATTTCACCCCCCACTCATCTTCTCTTCCTCTCCTATCTCACCCCCAAAAATCAATCTTCAAAGAAAAGGAACAAAAAACACACTTGGAATTCTCTGCGCCAGCTATTATTTCCAATACTAACAAATAATTCCGTGGGCGACGAACTTGCGACAGCTATGATCTCCGATACAAACAAGTTCGCCTTACGGAGCAGAGGGGCTAACCACTTCACCACCCACCGTGGATTTTTGTTATGAGGGCGTTTGGCTTTGACGTTTTGTATTTGGGGGATTTGGGGGGAGAAAGGGAGGGATTCACTGTTGGGTTTTGGCTTGGGAGGAGAAAGGGAGGGATTCACTGTTGGGTTTTGGCTTGGGAGGTATTGGGGGAAGAGTGATTAGCTGAACTGGAATGGAGTGCGAAATAATGCTTTTGAAAGTAAGAAAACTACTGGGTATTAGATTGTATTATTTAGATATATGGCATGACTTTTGATCAGAAATGAATCCATTTAGATAGGTGGATATAAGGGTCAATCATGTCCAGATATGCAACACAGGAAGTTGCAATTACTGATAGGAGATTAATGAACGTTGCATCCAAGAAAGACAAAATAGCGACTGCTGAACAGGCACGGGAAGTGTGTGCCATCAGAATCACGAAACTTAGGGTTCGTCTTATGGAATTTTAGGATGAGCCTGTGGTATGCTACTTGTGGATGTGCAACATGATGACTTGAGAACTTCATATGGTAATTGGCTTGAAGTACATAACTAGTTCCGATCGCTAGTACCAATAGAGTAGCCCGGTCTGAAATCTGAGCTAAAAATATGAATTTTAATTTGACGTCCGGCAGACTTGTTAGTATGAATCCTGTGTTTTAATCTTTCAGATATGCAACAAAAAAATTGGAAAGTCAGATTGGGATATAGCTTTATGTGAGTTCTGTATTTTATCAGAATAGTTGAAGAATACTTTCTAAGCTGTGAATTCGATATTAGGAATTTTAGGCCGGGTTAATAGAGGGAATGGATCATGTAATGGGAATATGCGTTTAGGAGTATGGGTTTGTTGGGCTCGTTTGTATAGACTTTTCGAGGATGTTCACCAGGATAATGAGGTTCATACTGACAGGTCTTCTAAGGTTACTACCCATCTAAATTGTGGATCCTGGTACATATTTCAATGATAAATTATATTACATGAGAGTTCAACGTCGGCTGAGTGGAAAGTCAGATTTTTATTTGAAGAACACCGGGTGCGAATATAATCTCTCCTCGCTTTTATCGATTGGATTTCTAGAAATACAAAGTTTAATCATGAGGATATATAGTGATGGTGTTTATTACGACATCTTCTTAGATTCGCCAAGATACTCAAGCGAGCTTTCCACAGAAGCTAAAGAAGAGATGACAGCGGGAAATTATGTCAAGGAGAAGGACTTTGCTTGGCTCGCTAGTACAGGATAAGGTCCAGCTTATATGCAGACTACTTGTCAAATATAGTTTTGAAGGGTGAATTGTGGAGTTTTGGGCAAAGTATACCTATTGAGACAATAGCATAAAAGCAATTGACTGTTTTCAAGAACTTTTCCCTAGATATTTCGAATATTCAAGGAGAGACAAGCTGAGAAAAATATGCAACGAAAGAACTAAAAAGGAGTGAATTATACGAAAGAAATTGCGAGGAACTCCAGAAGTAATTTCTACTCAAAGGAAGAAAGTATCACAGTATTTTCAAAGTCATTCTTCTCAACCAAAAGCAGGAATATGGGTGGTAATGATGAAAGAACAAGAATTTCTTATTCATGATAACACTATTATAGATCATCATCTGCCCTCAAGCGCCACCCTTTGAGTGCCAAGTTAATGAGAATGTTCTCTATAGAAGGACTTTTAAGTAATCATCCTAGACCACAATGGCTATGCGGAAGAGTCAAGCCTACAGAATAGTGTTGAGCTTGTATCCCGCAATACCTACATGATACTGAACGGGCCCGGCAATTTGGTCGTAGAATGATACGCCGTCTCTCGGATAAGCTAGCCTGAGATAGTTAGACTAGACTAAAATCATAGTCTCGGGCTATCCAGGCACAAAAGTAGTAACTGGCGGCTCAGTAATAATCCTGATATGCACAACAACACTCTAAGAATTCTTCGAGTATCGTTGGAATAAATATCGATTTTCATTTCAGAAACATAGCGACCCTTCTCAAATGGTTCCGATTAAAAGGCTCGGTTGATAATCAAGATGCGGGACTTCTTCCAATACATATCGCCATCAAACTTATATTCATACTCTGATTGCGAACAAATCCACAATTCTGCCTCTTTCGAACCCGCATGCTTCATGTAATCTGACGAGATGAACACCACTACTACCCTTACCTCAGTGCAACTTCTTTATGATGATGTGGAGAGAGTATTTCATGCTAAGAAGAAGTATCGGCCACGGAACAGCCCCAATTTATGATTTTTGGAGGTCAAACGCCATAAATCAACGATTTTTCGCATTGATGTATGAGTAAAGATCTATGAAATACTCAAAGACGCTCTCTATCAAAATCAACGACATCAAAGACTTAACGGATATACGTTACATCACTGATTTAAAGTTCATCATCCCAGAAATTTCTATATCCGATACACAATGATGTTTCATTTTAGTACCGCTCATGCTTTGTGGCCTATGAAGGATCGATGTGATTTTCACAATCAGCTAGTGCTGACTTCCATCTACGTATGCCTTTTCATTTGGACCTGTGGAATCTAGATACCGGCCTGCATCAAGAATTGTTCATCATTATTCCCTTACCAATTTGACTATTATCGACAGCATTTCCTAGAACGATCATCAGGTGTACCGGGGATTTTTACATACTTCTCCTGCAAAATTGACCAGCAAAGAGCCGCACGCACCATTTTGTATTCGCTACGTCTTTCGAGCTGTAAAAAATGGTAAAGTGTAACGAGAGAACCTAGAGAGAGCTTGGGACGATCCTTCTTGGGTATCAAGTACAGCTTCATCTTCTATATCTTCCTCAACGGCATCACCTTTTGGAAGTGGTTCAGCCACTGTCGCATCCTCGACTTCTTCTTCAAGTAATGTATCATCAGAAACAGATTCAGCATCCTCGTCATCATCATCGAGTACAGGAATTTCCACTGGTGCCAAAGCTGGTATAGATATCGGAGTTATCCTCGGCGTTCTACTCATCGCAGCGGGAACGTTTCTGTTATTCAGAAGATTCGGAAGACGTCCTCGAGGATTGCAGCCTGTTCCTATAGCTGATGTTGATGGGCCAACGCAATATTACGAGAAGCCTCCTGGCGATGAACCCTATAATGCTCCTCCTTATGTCACAGAAGCTCCAGAGACAACGGTATATCAACAAGGGGGAGAATTACATGGCAACGATATATCTTACGAGTTACCCGGAAGTACGGCCGCTGGGAGATAATGAGAAGAACGGAGACGAGAGTTCTAAATTTTGGAATGTGGACTGTATGTCTCGATGCAGTGTCGGTGAATGATACACATTCATTAGTCCGAGTTTTGACGTGACAATATATTACACAAGTCGTCAAAAATATAGAATGATGAATACGAGGAAACATACCTCGAGGGGTAGGCCAATGGGTGATTGTACGAGAAGAGGCATACGTGCTTTCCCTGGAGACAAGCGATCATTCAAATCTGGGCGCTTCAATTATGTTCTGATGTATATGTATACCAGTCATACTTCTTAACCATAAAGAATAAGATTAATCGAATGTAGCGACAAATACTTAAGGTTGTGGGGAAGAAAGAACTAAATGTATACTGATATGATAACATTGATACACATGCGAGTTGAGGCTTGACAAAATCTTTGGCGTTGAGGAAATAAAGAGTATATAATCAGAAATATAAGCCCCTGAAACTAGACGAGAAAATTTGTAAGGGAAGAAGACTAAACAGAATGAAAAGGGAAGACGCTGGTTTTTGGGGTATTTCGCAAATGTCGATGTGAATCATATGATAGAATTTGGTCAAATTGGAAAGCAGAAAAACTCCTGCGTGTGATTGTAATATACATTTCCATGATAGGCTACTTGTGTTTCAAAATGAAGTCATATGATTCGACTACTCCTTACTAATGTCAAAGTTGTATGCACCAGTGGGTATACAGACTTATGGAATGCTCAACAGGAAAAGTAAGAGTTCTAGAATGTTAGGGTTGTAATGTGAAAGAAGGACGAAGTTCTTATTATGCTATGTAGAAGCTATTTATATGTACCTCGGTACTCTGGTGCGCTAGTATTAGCGTACCATAGAACCTCTTTACCGCACCCCCCTCAATTTTTGATTCTTTTATTTTAAAATTAATAATTTTTCAATATTATATTATTTATTAATAAAATTCTAATCATTTATTAATAAATAATAACTAAATCTTGAAAAAATTATTTTTCAATATTTTACAATAACGTAACGTATGGGGAACTCGGACATATGGGGAACTCGGACACTTTTAGCCCATCACCAACTTGAAACCGCAATAACTTTTATTATGCATACCCAATCACCTTCTACATCTGCTCAAATTGAAGAGAAGCTTCAAAAGGCTATAATTTCACTTCAATTGAAAGAATTTAAATCAATTAGAAAGGCTGCAGAGCATTTTGAAGTCCCTAAGTCTACCCTAGCTGATAGGCTGGCTGGGAAGAAAACACGTTCCCAAACCCACGAAATGGCTCAAATTCTTTCAAACGCAGAAGAAAATACTCTTGTACGATGGATTTCACGACTTACCATCACTGGATTCCCTGCTACACCTATGTTGGTGAAGGAAATGGCCGACGAAATTCGTCTTCGACGCGTTCGGGTCGCATCATCTCGAAATCCTACCTCGACAGAAATTCCACCTATAGGCCACGAATGGATCTATAGATTCCAAAAACGACATCCAGAACTTAAAACATGCTATTCACGTCAATTAGAGTCTAATCGGGCTAAAGAAGCAACTCCGGAGAATATTCAGGCTTGGTTTGACGCGTTTCGCACGCGTCTCATTAAGCGAAAGTATGAATTAGATGATATGTATAATATGGATGAAACCGGATTTGGAGTTGGAAGTACTCAAAGTACGCGCATTATAGTCGATTCTACTCAGAAATCGAATTGGAAAGTTACAGCTGGCAAGCAAGAATGGATAACTGCATTTGAATGTGTCAATGCAGCTGGAAATGCTCTATCACCTATGGTCATTTTCAAGGCTCAGAATACGAATTCTGCATGGATTCCAAAGGACACACCTCAAAGCTGGCAGTTCTCTACTAGTACAAATGGATGGACCTCAAATAGCCATGGATTAGAATGGTTAAAAAGGGTTTTCGAACCAGAATCCAAGAAAGTGTCAGGTGACCGACCTCGACTTTTGATCATGGATGGCCATTCAAGCCATATTACAGGTAGCTTTATTGCTTTCTGTATAGATAATGATATTGATTTACTTATATTACCTCCTCATTGCTCTCACTTGCTTCAGCCACTTGATATTGCGGTGTATGGGCCAATGAAACGATATCATGCTTTAGAGGTCGATCGATATTCTCGAGCTGGTGTAAAGCGAATCCAAAGAGCTGAATGGGTAGAACTCTTTCAAAATATTAGAAAAAAAGCATTGAATTCTTCTAATATTAAAGCTGGCTGGAGAGGAGCTGGTTTAGTACCTTTTGCCCCACGAAAAGTACTCGATTCATTACCATTTAACTCCTCCCAGCAACCTTCTACTCCACAAATGAGAACCCCCAATCAAGACCTAGACTTGTCTATACTCAGGAGTTCTCCTCCAGATGGAACAGAACTAAGGCAAGCAAATCAGATCTTTAATACAGCTCTAGCAAGCAGTGGTTCTCCTGCATCGCCAACTCGTCGATATGCCAAGAGAATGACTAGGCTTGTAGAATCTCAAAATGCTGAGATAGCCCTACTTCGGAAACAGCTCTCTGATGCTCAGGAGGTAATTGAGACTCGAAAGAAAAGAACTAAAGGCAAAAGAGTCAAATTACAAGGTCAATTTGTCTTTAGTACTAAGGAAGTATTGAAAATGGTACGTGAGGCGGAGGAAAAACCGAAGGAGAAAAAGCCACGAGGACGGCCACGCAAACGCCCAATTGAAGAATCAGAAGAAGAGATTGAAGAAGAAGAGCTAGAGAATAGTTCAAGTGATTCGGAATTGGAATTGGAGGATTGTGTGGCTTGTAGAACAAGATCGCGTGTAGAATAATTGAAAAAGTGTCCGAGTTCCCCATATGTCCGAGTTCCCCATACGTTACGTTATATAATTTATTGTTTTGATTAATATTAAATTATATTTCAAATTTTCATTGAATTTTGAAGTTGATAAATTTAAATATGAAATTACACTTTTATATCACATTGTCTTGTAAGTCTGTATACCTACTAATGATATAGAAAGATAATCTACAAGTCTTAAAGTTTTAAGTTTAAATTATGAACAGTGTGATAATTTCCTCTTCACCGCCTTTGGTTAACCTTGTCACCGGAAGTACTATAATCCGAAGTCTTTGCTCATCGATATTTCCTTACCTACCTTGGTAGATATTCTGCATATCATCTCCTTGCCCTCAATTCTTTACAATGCGACGGCAAACCCTTCTTCCTACTGCGGCAAGGTTATGGCCAAAACCTTTATATGGCTACCGAACACCTGTACATACTGCACGATGTTCTCCCTCTCACATTTTTCGACGCCACTTTTTTTATCCTTGGCATGAACCTCCAAAAAGTCCTCTCATGACGTTTGGAAGAGTACCGCCACCCAAGGAACCTCGATATTTCGGCGTATTCTGTCCTTTAATAATTCCCATTCCACGAACAGAAGTACTGTATTGGGTGAAGAGCGTAAAGGAACAAAACCTATTGAGAGCTTTAATACTCATTACTGAAATAGTTTTCTTGGGATCATTAATTCTCGGAACTGTAATCGAGTTTCAAACCACGGATTCAAATCCGTTTGACTCTCCTAGATTTACAAAGTTTTCTATTGTTTCAGAGGAAACTGTCTCATCGACAAGTAAACTCTTGACTATTAAACCCAAGAAATCTGTAGCATCAGATCCTTATGCGGCGTACTGGGAGAAAGGTCTCTGGTCAGTAGAATTCAAGCAACCATTGTTGCAAATTGCACGATCTTATACGCCATTACCGCCGGATGAAAACGCCACAAATGGTAAACTTCGTTTCTTGATTCGAAAAGAACCAAATGGAGAAATGTCGAATTATTTATTTAGGCTACAAGCCAATTCCGAAATTGAGCTCAGAGGCCCTCACGTTGAATTTGACTTGCCGGAGAATGTGGACGAGGTAGTTTTCTTGGCTGGTGGAACGGGAATTGCTCCTGCTATGCAGGTTGCTCATACTTTATTAGAAGCGCGAAAGTTGGATGGCAAACTACCACGGATTTGTATAGTTTGGGCAAATAGGAGAAGAGAAGATTGTGTTGGGGGCGAAAAGTACACATCTGGCTCGAAGTCGGATACACTTCCCGTAAGGGGCTCTTTTGTTCAGCAATTGCAAAGAATGCAACAAAAACACCCAGAGAACCTCCAAGTAGATTATGTTGTGGATGAGGAGGGAACGTTTATCAATCAGAAGGTGATATCACAAGCCATACAACCCAGTTCAGCAGTAGGTTCTGGATCAGTCACAAAGAAGAGTGATTCAAAGCTACTTTTTGTATCAGGACCTGAGGGTTTCATAAATTACTTTGCTGGACCGAAAAGATGGAGAAATGGCAAACAAGAGCAAGGCGAAGTTGGAGGTGTCCTAGGCTATATGGGTATCAAGGACTGGAAGGTGTTCAAGCTTTGAATATAATAAATGTACTTTTATGAAGATCTTACAACTCCCACAAAACTCGCAACAAATATTATTTTACAATACGAAGATGCACATGGTGGATCGTCGTGGTCTCTTCCAAGTCAGACTTGATGAGGAATATTTATTCAAAAGTGATTTGTAAGTGAGTTTTGCCATTCGATGAGGAGAAACCTCTCCATTCTTTCAAGCATGGTGATGTCGATACAAACCATATAAAATAATTGGTAACATATGTTTGTTATTCCATGAACTTCTGAATTCTCATTCCCAAGTCCTCAAGTGTGGTTTATCATGTCTTGGACGTTCACTCATAGTTGTGCGTTTTATTGGTTCTAGATGGTGTTATCAATCACGCTGGATTCTCCAGGCTGTGGGGACTTTCCATATTCAGATGCTTTGGAGCAGAACTTCATCTTGTTCTGAGACTAAATCACATCCAGATTCCTCACTGGCCAGCTCTTAGCGATATATTGCGATATCAAAACTCAGGGTTTAGCACTTTTACGTCACATGCGATGATGCATTTTTCACATCCGAAGATGAGGGAGGCACACTCGAAGTTTGATCTGAGACATAAAATGTAGATATATGAAGTCTCAACCTTATTTCAAATAAAAGAACAAATACCAACCAAGTATCATGCATTTCACTGAATCCATACCAAGTTCCACTACCCAAAAATCCATCGTTCCCCTCAACCCACGCCCTCTTACCCCCGTCTCACAATCCTCTTCACAGCCCATACCCCCACATCTCTCAATAAGCCCCCACGATCCTCACCACCCTCCTCAAAACCAGCCCTGTCAATCTCCCCATCCATTCATGTACCCCTTCATCAACCCCCCCAAAGCCCTCACAACAGTTAAATTTCCCCGCGCAGACCAATTCCCCAATGTCGCTAACCAGCCATCTAAGCCCTTCATTGCTAGAAATCCGAATTTGAGTGTTCCTGTGTAGTAGCAGGCGGGGAGAATGAGGGAATAGAGACAGAGTTCTCCCAAGGGTTGGGTTCTGATGAGGAGGAGGGATTTGAGGAGGTAGTGGGGGAACTGGGAGAGGGAGAGGGGAATGGAGAGGAGAATGAAGGCTTTTTTGAGATTGAGAGGGGGAGGGTGGGGGAGTTGAGTGGGTGAGTGAGGGGGGACGATGGTGATCTTGGTGGGTGGTGAGGAGTTGGTTGGTACAGACTGAGAGGCTTGGCGCACCACCATAGATGATTTAGGTTGGGAAGATGATGTGACTGCACTATGCAAATTCCGATGACCGTTGCTGTACTGCTCGATTATTGAGCGCCCGACTGGCAATATAAAGATTGATCCATGGGTATACGATGGATGAAACGCCGAAGACATTGTGCCATATTGGTAATTCGAAGAATACAAAACCGCTTGAGAGTTCGGCCGAGCAATGATCGCCAAAGCTTGAGATGGCTCGCTGGATGATGTAACCTCAGATGATTCACGATCCAGAAATCCTGTTCCCATCTCTCCACTACTCGAACCATTCAGCGAAGGTCCCAAATCCTCCCTGCGAATTTTTGCTCCAAACTGAATCACAGACCCCGTCTCTTGGTACACGCCCGACTTCAGATCAAATTCCTGCATCAACCGAAAATAGCTCCCATTCATGAGTTTCATCTAAAATTCTTGACTCTCTATTTTGTTTACTTCCAACAGCGAATACGAAATATCGAATACATCCCTCACACGAATATATGATTGTTTGGGCATAGATCCTTGTTCGAGATATACTTGTTCTCGTGACAATTTTTGTTTTCATCTTTTATGCTAACATATAGTCTTATATGGTTTGGGGAAGCGGGTATGGCAGTCTGAGGACAGTGACAGCCAATAGACATTTTTTGTAGTATTGGATCTAGTGCAAAAGATACAGCACCTCGAGATTTGGTAAAATATAAACATTCAGATCAAAAAGAACTATCACAGCGATGGATTAACTGTAGCATTTAGAATACACCGATAAGTCCTTCCTAAAGCCAGTCACATTTGAACAAGACTTTACCAAAATGTGAAGGAATGGAAAAATAGGCGACCAAAAAAGCCCAAGGGGAGAGAATAGTGCCCAGAGCATTAGATGATCCATAATAATTACCCGAGAATTAAATATTCCCTAGCCGGCTTCCTCCAAATTGCACGACTTTTATCACAAAATCAGGATAGCAACAGATACAAAGCATACAGTGTAATTATTGAGCCCTGGTTCTCTCATATTCAAACGAATATTCTGATTACAACTTGTAATGAGATATCGGAGATATGAATGAAGAGTCAAAAGAGAAAGATGGTAACGATGACGATAGGGGAAACCCCTTGAGTTGCCCCACACCACATGCCAAAGACCCACTGCTAGTTCCAACTGTTGGTATATCGATTAGATGTTAGATAAGCTCAGTTCATCTGAAGTCAAAATTCTCTTTATCAATTACTTGTAACTCTCACACATACTTACCACTCTTCTCAGCAATCCAGTATCTTTCCCAAAAGCTCAAAAACGTCTACTCCAGTTCCACCAACCAAGCCCTTCAAATACATCGAAGGACTTCCCCTCCACTGGGATTCCGTATCCGGCTACTCTATTACCGAAAAACTTCGCAACATGCGTGCCGCTCTCCATTCCGGCGCCGATCCAAACGCACTCGACAAAGTCCGACGCCCCGAACAGAGTATGGAACGACCGCTCCATTACGCCACCGATGTTACGCACTTTGATTTTATGCCTCGATATGAGAATTTACCTATTTTGGAGTTGTTGGAGTTTGGGGCTGATCCAAGAATGAAGGGGATGGCGGAAACTAGAGAATCGCCGTTGCGGGAGGTGAGGAGGATAGTGGAGACTAACTATCTGAGGCTTGGGGAGAGCGATATGAAGTTTTTAATGCGGCTTTGGTAGTGATTGAGGAGAAAGTTAATGAGTTGGAAGGTGAATTTTTGGAGTCGGATATATTGGATTAGACTGACTTTTCTCTGTAGTTAATGAGGCTAAGAAAGCGTAAGTTATGCTGCATTTAAATTTGTGTTTTCTAGGAGCTGAACATGTGTTTTCTGCAGGGCGTCGTGGACGGACTCGTGTCAGGTCAGTTGAGAAGGGGCCCTCTACCTCATGTCGAATTGATAACTTCAAATAAGCGGTATGGCGGATGAATCGTGAGTGTTCTCTGTTTTATGTTCTCAATTTAATGTCTTTCCTATATCTAAAGGTACATATGCAGTTGATAGTCGACGCAGAATGCTCGCATATAGGCTATCAGATCACAAGCTTCCAAAGCGCATACGTCACCTATCAAAAGACTTGCTATTTCCATAAGTAACAGCTCCAACAAAGTCCCCAGTACGCAAAATAGCGATCTATCCGACAATAGGCCTGGAGCAATGCATAATTTATAGGCTGGAAGTGCTTTCTACCTTGTTAGCAAGCCTCTAGCTACTAAATATATTTCCCAATACTTGTTTTTCAGCTCTGTCCATACTCATTTCTTCATACCCAACACTCAATCTATACATAAAAAAGCATTTCCATCTATTCATACAACAAAAAGGAAGTGATAGTAGTAACCCGAGAAAAACGCAGCAGTTCGATTAATTTCCAAGGTCTCTCTCCTTTCTCTCTCTCGCGTAACATTTCCTACCTCCATTGCAATGTCTATCTGCCCTCTAGCCTAGACCCAAAAATTCGATATACAAGAATATACTCAGATTGTTACGCGGGGTATACTATTACTATATATACTAGTTATATCATATGTACATAGTACAAACTACTCACTAGAGTTTGTACTATGCAGCTGGCTTTTTAGATACGAAGGAAGATCTATACAATTGTTCATACAAAGTCATACAAATTTATACAAACATCCATACAAATATCCATATAAACACCCCTCAAGGCATCACTCAACAAAGTCCCATATATCTCTATCTCTATCTCTATCTCTATCCTCTCATACCTATCCCCTCATAATTTTACTCAAATCCCGTAATCATGCATATCATACCATATTCAACATCCAGCTATAAGCAGTTCTTATTCTGATTTGAGTTATGGGTTATAATCAAAGATCTGGAGTTTACCTGCGGAGTATAGAGACAGAAGGTAAGGAAACTTACTACAAATAATCACCTACGAATCAAACAGACGAATGATTCTCTTGGGTGGCAAGAGACTGACTATATCAGTAGCACTTTTCACCGACGAGAAGGCCATTCGATAGAGGGCTCATCTGAAAACAGACACAGACTATTTAAAATCAAACTATCGAATATACTTAGAGTGATTCAAACATCAAACACGCTATATAACTCCCCGTAAATGCTTATTCCAGATCCATGCACCCCAAGATCATCCATCCATGCCCATATACTTGGTAAATAATATAACATCATATCATCCCGTTCCCATCACTCCGTCTACAAGACCTTCACCTTCGTCCACTCACTTACCGATCCCCCTAAATTCAATCCCATCTTCGCCCACCATTTCCTCACCTCTAATTCTTCCCCCTCATTTCCTACACTATCTTCAAGCGCTTCTTCAATATCACAAGTCTTATATTCGACTCTTCCTCCTGGTCTTCCATTCGATCCATGACTCAGATTTGCCCACCATTCCAAGACTTCTACGTGACCATTCTTCGTAGGACCTACTAGAACCTGATTATCAAATGCTAGTTTCTCACCCTTAAGTTCACGCCATGTATCTAAACATGCGACATGTCCATGAGCCGATGCGACTTTAGCCACGGATTCCGAATGTGCGATGGGAATACCAGAATTATCCCACCAGCGGAGAACAAGGGCTTTGTTATTTTGCGCTGCGGCTAATAGTGCTTTACCGGGTTTGAGTTGTAAAGCCGGAAGAACATCAGAGGTATTTGTTGTAGCTTCTGCATGTCGAGTTCGTCTTTCGGCTTCGTTATGGGAAAGACTAGCTTGTTTCCACCATTCAAGAACTAGCATGTGTCCCTTGGAAGATGCTTGTTCCAGTGCCAATTCTGTGTATTTCAAAGGAAGTCCAGATTTTCTCCACCAATCGAGAACATGTACATATCCAGACTTCGAGGCTCCATCAATCGCTTCTGCAGTATAGTCTTTGGACAGGAAAGAAGGAGATGTGCGCCACCATTCTAAAATTTCAGTACGTCCATAAACAGCAGAGGCTTTTGTGGGCAAAAGCTTCTGTCCAAAAGTAGCCCAGAACACGTCCTTCAATTTTGTTTCCAGATATGAGAGAACTTCTGTAAGGCAAAATTTAATGATGAGTTTGACGCATAAAGGGGAAAGCTCTCGCATGTTTTCGGGGGCGGTATTTAGTTTGTCGATAATCTTGTAAACGGGAGATGTCAGAATAATCCATTCGAGTGATCGCATGTAAGTTTGTAGTTCGTCTTTCGTGTCGTCGGGCTTTCGCTGCCACTCGGTTGGCCTAGGTATTTTGGCATACACATTGAGCGCTCTCGAAACCTCCCAATCTCCTACGTATTCGAAAATGAGGGACCAGATCTCTGGTGGAAGGAGCGCATCCGTTTTCATATTATATCTTGCGAGACTTGCCGCACCAGATGCAGCGATATCCACATCATGTCCAATTGTCAAAAGTTCCGCTTGATTTTTGATAACGTCGACAAGTTCGTTGAATCCATCCCACCCGACGAAACATTTCCCTGGTCCCTTCGCATCATAATGCCACAGTATTGGTTGCATGACTCGAACCCATTGCCACTTTCTGCGTACTTTATTCAATTGTTTCTTGGTGATTGGATTCTCCCACATGGATGTTGTCATTCCTGGTACAAGCAATATCTTCTTGGAAACGTCCCACCCACGGAGAATTTCGAGCAACAGACAATCGGTTATGCCGTGCAACATTTTCGCAAACGTGTCGGCATCGATAGGTGCTAGTACTAGTATGTCTGCCCAGTCACACAATTCGAAAGCCTCCTGTCGAAAATATTCAATTTGATCTCGTTCTATACCCTTCCTTGCCTCATCCGTCTCCCTCGTCAAAAACCTTTTATTTTGGTATGCCAGTGTCTCTTGAGACAATCGATATGATGGCCATGTTTCTTCGTCAATAATTGCTCGAGTTTCGATCTTAGGATTCTTGGATAACCTCACGATGAGGGCGAGAGCTTGTGCGACATCTTTACTTCCATTTGCGGCCACCAAGACTTTCAACTTTTGAGATTCGGTAATTCTCATATCTGCAATCGATGAAGATGAAGAAATCTTGGGGAGTCCTGTAATAAATTCTCTCCTGAGTGCAAATGCATGGTCTGCCATTCCGAGTTACAAACACCTCGCTGGCGTTTCGATGCACAGCTGTGAAAATAAAAGGAAAGAAGCGGTGGGTGTTGGTGTGGATATGGATGGCGATGTATTGACTGACGTCGAATAGATTAATTTGAGTTGTTGAAGGCTAATCGGTCAGTCAAGACTGGAGTAGGAGTAAGGGTAGGTAGAGAATATATCGTATATCGTATATCGTATGCAGAGTATTGTCCGATAGATAGCAAGTCGAATGATTCAGTCAGTCGATACGTTGTGTAATGGTATGTATGTATGTAAGTTGATAGAAAATGAGGTCAATGTATTATCGTATCACTATGAGCGTATCATATTTATTATATTGAATCAATTCAATATTCTTTGATGGATCATTCATTATTCATTCATTCTTCATTCAAACCTCGAAATGATGTGTGGGCTAGCTGAAACCCCTGTAGCCCCTGTAGCCCCTGTAGCCCCTCCCTGTAAGAGACGTCACTTTAGTGAATGGTGAGGCACGAGAGGCACAAGAGGCACTAAACTTGAAACTTCGGAGCATGTGTCCCTACCGAAAGCCTGAGTAAATTCTGAATGTTCATTGGATCATCCCATCATCCCATCATATTGTTGATGAAGTAATCGATTTTGTCTAACGTTGGTGTACTCACGTGATACCAGCATGACTAATACATGACCATAGACGATTGACTACCTAGGAATATTACAACAACTCCCTGAGGCTACTGTAATTCAAGTGAATATGAGTGCACGATATTCTCGAGAATCTGAAATAAACACCCGAGAAGTAGTTCTGCCATGCAAGTTCCCATACATAACAAGAGACTTCTATTGTCACGGGCGGCAGTTTGAAATCACAGACGCTCATCATGCCGTGGCAATATCGGTCGTCGAGGTATATGTCGGCCATTATCTATGCCCATTGCTATACGCAATTTGAGTATTACACCCACATCTTCCAGAACATTACTTCTGATTCCGTTCAACCGTAGATGCGTGTCAATACATACTAATTCGCAGAACTATGATCACTTCTTCCGGTATACTGGCGGCAAGTGGTTACAGGATGGAGAGAAAAGACTTTCTGAAAGATATCAAGAGTTCAACGTCGAGGAATTCAAGTGTATTGCAATCGAAAGTATTGGTTTTAAATCTTGCTCTCTTTTTGGTACAAGAAAACTAACAGTCACATAGAAATTGGGAAAAAGTGGAATTCGACCCTCCCTGCCCGATTCATTTTACAAAAGAAGAGGTACAAAACCACATACAGGAGGTCCAGACATTGGAGGATGTCTACGTGTTCTGGGAAGATCTGAAAAAATTTATTGATGAGGATAATTATATCTCAAGTAAAGATTTTGATGAAGGACTTAGAACATGGGCTTGTTATGAGCGAGGTGTGTGTACGGAAGGCCCTTTCACTAAATATTGCATTTATAGTTCGAAGGAGATAAAGGAGGCATATGAGAGGAGGACTGAATGGATCAGGGAGAATGGATGGGAAGTGCTTAGAAAGCGAGTATTATGGTATGGTTGTGGAACAATGCCTGAGTCCGCGACATGTAAAGGCATTTTTATCTATTAAATATTTGAATAAACCCAATCCACTCTAAAAAAGCCTTTTGCTAGTGATCTGCTTAGTTACAACGGGTGAGTTCTGATTTATATTTTAGATATCTTTTAAGAGCTATGGTTCGTGTGGTGCTAGAGTAAAGCCAATTAGTGTTGGTAAGAGAGCCCTGATATATTCAAGCTCCTATCCTTATAGCTAGCCAGCACGCTTGTTCAATCAATCTCTAAACG